ATGGGAAAGAAACCGAAAATCATTTATACAGACGATGAAGGAGCACTTTCTACGGAAGCGATACAAAAATATCTGAAAGACGAAGATATTCAGCACCATAGGACACGAGGACATCCTAACTTTGCGGAAAGGGCGATTGGAACGTTCAAGGATATGTTATATAAGAGGGTTGAGATTGATGAAAAAAAGAGGAAAGAGAATATTCAATGGACTGATTATGTACTTGAAATATTACTTACTTATAATAATCAGATGAAGCACTCGGCCACCGGTTTAACTCCGAAAGAAGCACGAAAAAAGGAGAATGAGATGAAGGTTAAAATTAAGTTGGGGATGAATGCGAAGAAAAATAGGGTATATCCAGAGGTTGGTAAAGGAGATGAGGTTAAGATATTCAGGAAAAGAAAACTTCACGAAAAAGAAAGAAAAAGTAATTGGAGTAGCAATAGATATTCTGTAGAAAAGATTGAAAAGAAGTTGGGGCAAAATTACTACTATATTGAAGGCATTGATAGGCCTTATTTGCGGTTTGAGTTATTGAAGGTTTAATTTAACTTGTTCGTTGCTTTACGAGTAAGTTGCGTATCGTTTTACGGGTAAGTTGTTTGTCGTTTTACGAGTGAGTTGATTGTCGTTTTACACCAAAAAGGTTCAATTAATTCTGTTTGGAATGGCAAATTATTCTTGTCAGAACAATGAGCCATTCCAGGTTGAACCCTAAATTATTCTAGCTAGAACAATAAACCATAAGTAGAATAAAGTTATATTTCATAAGAAGTTAGGGGAAAGAAAATATACAATGGACTGATTATATACTTGAAATATTACTTTTGTATAATAATCAGATGAAGCACGCGACCACTGGTTTAACTCCGAAGGAAGCACGAAAAAAGAGATTGAGATGAAGGTCAACATTAAGTTAGGGATGAGGATAAGATATTTAGGAAAAAGGAAACTCTCAGCAAAAGAAAGGGTGGGCAATTGGAGTAGCAACCGGTACACTGTAGAAAAGATTGAAAAAAAGGTTAGGGCAAAACTGATATTATGTTGAAGGCATTGACAGATCATATTGGAGGTCTGAGTTATTGAAGGTTTAAAAGGCATGTAAATGCGCTCCACGTCATCATGCCGGGTCTCTGGGTCAACGCCGGCTGAAGTAGGCAGAAGCTTTTTCTCAACATTCAAAACTTACGCCACGCCTCCTGAGCGATTCAGAAGGGTGAAACCACGTGAGATGCCTTCGTAAAATTCCAGACTCACCATGCCTCGTCAGTACCTTCTTCGAGAGATACTTTGGCAGCCTCAATGGCTGAGAGGAGGTCTTCACCGAGGTCCACACAGTGCCACCATCCATGTCCTCCTGCATCCTTGCTGGCAATTTCAACGGGTTTGGGGGCTACAATCTTTGGGATGATAAACAAACCACTATGTCTGCAAGCAAACCAACCAAAACAAAAATAAAATCCGTACACTTAGCTCCCGTTGGGCGGCATTGGTGTTCACTGGCAGGTCTGCTGCATTTCTCTTCCAGGCCTCGTCGAAACAGCTGGCACGCCAGTTAAGGGCGAATCTGAAGTTGTCAGCTTGAACTGACGGAATGTGTACTGTTGTCACATTGCCTGTGCCATCTGGTGAGTCTACTGCCAAGACCGGTTTGGTGATGGTTGCCATGGAACCAACCCTTGAGGTGTCCACCTTTAAAGTGAACTCTGTTTCGCCCGCATACATTGAAGGGGTTTCCTTGTCGATTGTCACCTTGATGTGTGGAGCTGTTTGAGGACCATCAAACCAGTCGTGGAATTCTCCACTGCCAGCCAGATACAGCCATCTGCAAGCAAGCTTGCGGCCGTCTCCTAAAAGGGCGGCTGGAATGATGTGCATGTTCTTGTACGTCATCTCGTCAGTTATGGCCACCCGCTGGTTCTGCAACTTTTTGCGCAAACCAGACGCCATGGTTGCCCCAGCACCTGAATTTGACGTAGCGTATGGCTGCGGGCTATCCTTATCCTTGGTGTAGTCCAAAGCGAAGACAGCTGCAAGGTCTGGTGTGGGAGGTGGTGCCTTCTTCCTCTCTAATTTCATGGTATGGTTGCCAAACACCTCTGCACTGACAGCCAGAGCAGCATCAAATCGTTGAAGCCCCTCTTCTGTTGGGAACCACAAGTTGAGCTGGATGTTGCCATTGCCCATGGTGTGGACAATACATTTGTCTTTGGCACCCTGTGCTCCAGCATTCGCAGCACTGTGAAACAACCCTCTGCGGGCATCGAACCGTCTGGCCCACCCTGAAAGGACACCAGTGATGTTGTACCACTCACTAACCTGGCACAGACGACAGCCGAGAACTCAAAACACATCAGCACATGAAGCACTCTCAATCAAAAACACCTCAAACCTCAACAAACAACACGCCCCAAACAACAAACCACCCCGACACGACCAAGCAACCCAAAGCAAAGACCCTAGCAAGGAACAAACACCTAGCGCGAAAACCCTAAAGGGGGGCAACTCTTGTTAATGAGCGGGGTGGGGAAACCTAGAACTAACAAGAAAAAAAGATGATGATGGACGGGGTGCCGGTGC